TTCGAAGCCAAGGTGTGGAGGTGCACCAGGACTCCGTGGCTATAGATGCTCATCAAGCAAATGGCCCAGTGGAACAGGCTCTTCAATCGGTTCGGCAACTCGCATGCCCCTCGATGTCTCAGCTTGAAGCCGGTCTCGGAGGAGAGCCCGACAAGGTCCTGTTTGACACGGACCACCCAGTGTGGCAATGGGCCGTGGTCCATGCAGCATGGATCAGGACGAGATTTTCAGTTACTCAAGGCTGCACGCCGTATGAACGGCTAACCAACACCCTGTATCGCGGCAAGGTGTGCATGTTCGGTGAAGCAGTCATGGCCTATTTGAAGCAGTCGGCTAAAGCTTCAGCTAAGTTGCAGAAAGCCATTTGGCTAGGTAAGACGACCGCAAACGATGTCAACATCCTTGGGGTTCCGGGCGGCATCTTCGTTTCTCGATCAGTGAGAAGGTTCAGTGATTGCTGGGATGGTAAGCTTGCAGCGGAGATTGACACATACGTTTGGCAGCATGGTTTGGCTAGCCTAGGAGGAACTTTGGTGCTGAACAACAAGAAGGTTAGCCTCCCTGCTCAGCCAGCACTCCCTCTTCCAGTTGAGGCAGGCAGACATGATGATGATGAAGCCCCTAGGTCTCCTTCTCAAGTTGCAGGCAGTGATCCAGAGAGTTCTTCGGGGTCACAGATGTCCGTTGACTTCCCCGATGGTGTGCCAGACTTGGAACAGATAGCAGCCGAAGCAGCTTCAACGCAACAATCTGATGTGGTTGATGTCCTCCTGCCCGCAATCCCTGAAGCCGTGCAGTTAAGTGAGAATCCGAGACCTCAAAAGCAGCCCAGACTTGAGACGAGTACCATCTCGATGATCTCCACCGCCGGGGAAAGGTCCTCTGGCGCAAATTTGATCGTTGGTTGTGAGGAGATGCCGTGCGTAACCGAAATCCGCAAGGTGACGTACACGCATGAGGATGAGAGTGTAGAGTTGGCGTTCGATCAGGACGCTATCGATGGTATGGAGGACTATGACTACGAGGAGTACAATGATGATCAGATTGGTGATGCAGGTGACTTGGATCAAAGACTTTGTCGCCCTCGTGATTCAGATGTTGAACCAGAGTGTGGAGAAGAGATGAGAGTGTTAGACTCCATTGCGGATCAAGTGGAAATCACTCGACTGAAGAATATGTCGGTGCTGCAAGATCCATCGTCGATGGATCTATCTCGAGCAGTTCATCTGACTGCGAAGATGGTCAGAACATGGAGACAGAAAGAAACGGGAAGCCCGCCAATGCCCGTGTGGTACAGAAGAAGCAGGTACGTGGCCAGGGAATATGCCTGGTTGTCAGAACGAACTGATCTGTTCAGCCCAGCAAGCAGCAGCCTATGCAATCGATTGCTCCCCATACTCTTCATGTACAACAAGTCCAAAGACGACAATGACAATCTCTCTGACGATGACAAGCTCTCGCTGTTTGCTGTCGACATTGGGGACGCGTTCCTCACTGTCCCTCAAGTCCAACCCACCTATGTGACCTACGTCCACCCCGATGGAAGCAAAGAGCTCTTTTACCTAGGGTTTGTCTTGCCGGGTCAACGATCCGGGTCGAGTGACTGGTACGACGACTTCACGAAGTTTTTGGGTGCCAACCTGGACATCGTTGAATGCCCAGCGCATCCTTCGCTAGTCAAGACTGCAGACCCGACTTCAAGGTTTGCAATGCAGCTTCATGTCGACGACATGCTAGGTTTCGCGAAGCGGAAGTTTGTACATGAGACGTTCCTTCCGACCTTAAAGAAGAAGTACAAGGTCACAGCCCAGTTGATTGAGAACGTCGGGGACTTTGTGACGTTCCTCAAGACAAAGCACTTGTTGGTGAGTGAGAGCGAGCTTCTTTTGACACCGAGCCCAAAGCACTTGGACAAGCTGTTTGCGCTACTTCGTTTAGATGAGAGAGCGTCACCAAAGAAGACCCCTTACATGCCCCAGTTGGATGAGATCGATCAGAGTCATGAATTGCAGAGTGAAGAAGCCTCGATTTACCGAAGTGGCATTGGTTTGCTCTTGTACCTAGCGGTTGACTTGCCTGAATGCCAGTGCGCGATCAGGGCCCTCGCTTCAAGGATGGCAAAACCCACTCAGGTTGCAATGCTAGGACTCCGGCACCTGGCGAAGTACCTGATGTCAGCAAGACACAACGGAGTGATGATTGTGAAAACTGATCCTGGTGAAGGGTTGCTGGGTCCAAGGGAATGATGCTGGTGATCAATCGATTGTTCTCGAGAGCTTCAGCGACTCAAATTGGGCCTCGTGCAAAGGGACTCGTAGGAGCGTTAGTGCAAGCGTGCTGAGTGTAGCAGGAAACCTTCTTTTCTCCAGCAGCCGCACTCAGAGAGTGGTGGCGCTTTCATCCGGAGAGGCCGAACTTCTTTCGGCAGCCTCGAGTTTGTGCGATGGAATCATGAT